TGCTCCCGCGATAAGCTCCCCCGTCTGCGTGACGTCATTCCCCCATGCCACGTAAATCCCCCTCCGCCCGCGTGACGTCATGCCCCCTCGCCAGCGCGGGACCGCCCCGTCCCTCACCACCCCTCAGAGGACCAGAGTTGCCCCCTCCGCCCGCGTGACGTCATGCCCCCTCGCCTGCGCGGGACCTCACCGTCCCTCACCACCTCTCAGAGGACCAGTGTTAGAACCCGCATATTAACACTACTTTTCTTGTAACTTTGTTTAATGTGAAACTTAATTACTTAGAATAAATATAAGAGAATAATATTTTTTAGTCAATATTTACCAGTCTGTTGTAAATTGAATATTATCCATTGATCGCTTGTGAGATTTTTAATCTTCCGGATATATCGTTTATTGGATTGCGCGATATCTGATTTTTTGTAGAGTAGCCAAATATCAGGCGAAGTATTGTTAAAATCCAATTGTATTTGCGTAGTATAAGTCAAAGGTATACTCAACCTCTTTGTTATATTGACAATTTCTATTGTTACATCCTCGACTTTAAATCGTAACTGATCATATTTTCGTATTACATTTATTACAGGATAATGCTTTTGATTCATCCAAGTTTTCAGTTGTTCTACCCCGTTTACGAGATTATACTTTTCTCGCCTTGTTAATGAATCATATTTCTGACCAGAAAAATAGGCAGCTCTCGAAGCTGACCAGTAATCGTAGAAATAAGCAAAACTATAATCACTAAAATTGAAAATTTTAACATTAAATTAAATAAGAGAACAAAATTATAATATTAGGCGATAAAGCAAAGCATAGTGACAAAAAACGAAGAAATATTTTACAAAATCTATATTATTATTTAATAATCTATATTATTATTTTATTTGCTATTTATTTATTGTTATTTATATTATTATTTTTAATATTTGCTTAATTTTATTTCATATAATTATTTTATATTATAGTATATTACTTACTGATCATATATACATGAGCGCATAATGTGCCAAAATAACTCTTCAGTAACAGCATGTTGCAGCATACGCAATATAACGGGTACTATATGTCATAAAAAAAAGAATACGTGATTAAATATGATTAAAAATATATTTATTACAATGCACGCGCGCATTCTTGTTCTATAAGTATAATTCTATGTATATTGTATACAAATTTGTATATATATATATATATATATATATATATATATACATATATATATATATATATATATATATATATATATATATATATATACACATACATACATATATACATACATACATATACATATATATACAGGGTGTCCCACCAAAAGTGGCTACCCCCTTTTATCTTT